GGGGCTGCGGCGGGGTTTCTGCGTCCTTTTGCCGAGAAAAGGGTTGAGCGGACAGACCTCCGAGTCTCCCGCAGTCGCCGGCGCGCAGGCGGGCAGGACAAAGAACCGCTGCGCTGTCATGTCAGCGCGCCGCTGTCGCAGCTCTGAAACCATGGCCTCTTCCCAGTTGGCATCATAATTTTACCCCCTCTCCTTTTTTTTAAAAAGACCGCAGCTGTATGTATTGAATTGAATTATACTCCTGCGTTCATGATATGCACTTACCAGTAATCCGAGGGCTAACCTTTTAATTTAATTTAATTTTTAAAAAAATATATTTTTATTGATTTTAGAGAGGAAGGAAGAGGGAGAGATAGAAACATCAATGATGAGAGAGAATCATTGATTGGCTGCCTCCTGCACGCCCCGCACTGGGCCTGCAATCCCAGCATGTGCCCTTGATGGGAATCGAACCTAGGACCCTTCAGTCCTCTGGCCGACGCTCTATCCACTGAGCCAGACCAGCTAGAGCTCATTTTGTTTTTAATTAGTTGTTTTAGAAAATATAGTGAATCCTATCTTTAACAAAATGTAGGAACCTGGCAGTAACCACTACTTATGTCTTCCCCCAACAACTGGAAGTGACCATTGGCCCACATCTGTATTTAAAAATTTGATTGTCCCTTCTCTTCCTTCCTCATCCCTCACCCCCCAATCTGGGTGTGTGTATATATGAGGTTTTCAACGTTTTGGGGACTTGAATGGTAACAGTATTGTGTTGCTGAAAATCAGCTATATTGTTATCTTTCACTGTGGTTTATTCCTTGTAACCCCTATGCAATGTTGTGTGGCCCTACCAAGTTTAATCTACTCTTCTGTTGAGGGGCATTTGGGTTGTTTCCAGGTGATTGCTAGTGTGAAATACACAAGTTGTTCTTTCACTTGTTTCCTGCTATGAGAGTGCATGGTTTTCTCTTAGGTATATGCCTGAGAGTTGAATAGTTAGGTCATAGGGTATATGAAAATTCATTTTTAGGGCATGATGCCAAACTGACTTCCGAAGTGGTCATACCAGTTTACACTTCCACGCAACATAGGAGAGCTCGCCACTGTATCTCCTCCAACGCTTGGTGTTTAATTTTTGTCAATGGAATTGCTGAAATTGGCATGCCATGTGGTCTCGATTAGCAAGTCCTTGTTCACCAGTGATGTTCTACATCTTCATGTATTTATTGATGTGTTTCCTTCTGTCTGAATATGTCCTGTCCATTTTATATTGAGTTTAGTCATATGACTGATTCTTTCTGCCTAGAAGGTTTAGATTTTTCTCTTTGCTTTTGATATTAAAATTCATCATATCTTGACTAGTTGTGGGTCTGAAAAAACACTCTCCTCTTTTTGTGTTCTCTGTCAGGCCATTCATTTTCCTTTATTAGCTAGATTTATAAATTCGTTGGTCTTTAGTGAGTATATATATTCTAGATGCCAGTTCTTTGCCAGCTCTGTGTATCTCCCAGTTTATAACTTGTTTCTTTTGTTAAGCTATTTTTGATGAATATAAAATTTTAAATTTAGTAACAAATTTACCAGTTTTTTATAGTTAATGCTATTTAGTGTTAAATATTTTCTTTCATTAAGATATAAAAGATGGCTAACTATATTTTCTACTAAAAATTTGAAAGTTTGGTGTTTGATGTTTACATCTTTAACCCATTTAGAGTTTATTTTTGCATATGGTGGTAGGTGGTGATCCTATTTTATCTTTTTTTGAATATGGATTGCCATTTTGTTTCCAGTTCCATTTATTGAATATCCTCTTCTTTGCCCATTGATGATATATTAAAGTTTGATTTGCACAAATGTCTCTCCTATGTTCTAGTCTATTTGTCAGTTTATCTGTTTCTATGCCAACTACCATCATATTAACCAATTAACTGCCATGCGTCCAAAACGGAAACCATCCCCACACACCACGATATTTTGAATTTAATTAAAAAAATCAATTTGCAATGAATATTATAAAAATAAATATATTACAATTCGGGTGTTCTTGAGTATTTTCAGTTGAAAATTCACATGAAAAATGATTTTAAAGTTGGTCTATAGACGCTTATGGCAGGCAAATGGTTAATACTATGTATATTTTTTAATTTTTGATTATTACAGTAATGTCCCAGGCAAACTAAGACATGATTACTCGACTTGTGAGCCATTCTAAAGAATTTTGATTTATAGCACATATGATAGGAAGTTATTGAAGAATATTAGCGGCCGAGTTATAGGTTCTAAAATTCATTTTTGATGATCACACTGGTGCTAGATGGATGGGGTGGGGGGATGGTGAGGGACAAGACAAGAGTGGAGTTAAGGGGACCAGTTAGGCTAGAGCTGGAGGGCAGGTGAGAGATGAGAGTGGTTTTAGTAGTAACAGAGATGGAGGGATGTGGATGGCTTTGAGATGGAGGTAGAACCAGTAGAACTTTCCGATGTGTTGAATGTGGTAGAGAGAAAGGTAGGACTCAATGTAACGTGTTTGGGGCTTGAACAGCTGGGTAGATAGGATGCCATTCCTGGGATGCAGAATTCTGGGGAAAGGACAGTTTGTAAGTTTGTAAACTTTCAGATGAATGATAGCGCCGCTTTTAATTTGCTTTTGCTTGGAGATAGCCTTATGGTGATGAATATTTTATAGCTTGTTTATTCTCTTTCCTTTCCGAATAGGTGACTCTCTTCTGAAAAGTGCAACCAGAACTCTTCTGGAATTCAACACAACAGTGGACTGTGACGGGGAGCGACGTGGACGTCACAAAACCCAGAGCAGCATCACCTTCCTCTGCGGGAAAACCTTGGTGAGTCCGAGGACGCACTTTACAATCTTTTGTTAGAAATGTTTGCCCCTTGGGAGGCCTTGCTATCGTGGTTATTCCAGGGAGAATAAGTGAAAAAAATGGAAAGCACAAAAGATAAAAACCCCAACCAAAATCACCATCGCCATTAAGAACCAATAAGTAAAAAATCCGAAGTCTATAGTTACAACTTTTGAGTGAAACTTGATCCACATCCTGTGTAAAACTACAAATCAAAGTGATTAATGTGTTTAAACTCAAAGCACAGTTTAATGTTTATTGCAGGCATAATTTTTTTTTCTTCTTTCTAAAGTCTCTTCTCCCAGCATTTTATTTGGATAGTTTTTAGGGCAATGTGTTTATTTTTTTAAAATGTTTTTCTTTCCTCATTTACATTAAACTGTAGAGACGGACATCTATGTAGGACAGCGGTTTTCAAATGGTGTGCGGCAGAATGTTTAAAACATGCAATACCTATTTAGTTGGGGGCGCTGACCTCTTTTCCCTTAGATTGTCAAATAAAAAAAAGCACAACAATAGCCGTCCGACGTGAATGAATCAAAATTATACCAATTTTTTTTGTCTGGTCGGTAAAAAAATGTATTTTTTGGTGTGCCGCAGAATGTTAGTAATTTGTTTATGTGCGTGTCATGAGATGAAAATCGTTGAAAATCGCTGATCTAGGAGAAGTTTTTGCTAGTGGGTAGTAGGCTTCCCAACCTTTTTGGGTATTCCTAGTGTTGAAAGGGGACATAATTGTTTAAAGTGTGATTTGTTCTTGCTGTCTCTATATTGCATGGGATTTTAAAAAATTTTAATCTTTAGTGGTTAGTGAGCGTCTTGAAGTAAATAATTGCTAGTTTTTAGGAAAAGCAATTTGTATACAGATCCTATGAACGTTCTCTAATCAGAGTAAGCGCCCAAGTATTTAGAAAAATCAGGGTGAGTAAAACTCATGTGGCCACCAGATTGCTTTAAAATATCATTTTAGAATTTGCTGTGCCTGTTATATCCTCAGGCCCGTAATGTCTCATCTCAAGAATTTTTTAAAGATAGAACTTACAGGTTACGTTTGGACCGGCCTATCAATTGTCCATGTTGAAACACTGGGAGAAAAGTCGGTTTGCCGTGCTCTGAAATATGGAGGTCTGTGTTACTGAATATGCTAGCTCCTGTTTTAATTTTAACTGATTTCCTTCAAGAATTCTGTGTTCACCATAAAAGAACCAGAATTGTGGCGAACTCCAGATTTGCACATGGGTGTGTAGAGGTAAATTCCCGCTGGGTCAGGTATCGCCCGGCAGCGCTGTGGCTAAGTTTGGAGTCTACCCGGGTCCAGGCGTTTGGGGGTGTGGGATGGGGGGGGAGTGGCTGAAGCGAGGCTGGCGTAGGAACTCAGCCGGGCTTGGGTGGGCCTCCTCCCTCGCTGACAGGAAGCATGAGGTCACATTTTCTGGCTTTGATTTTGTTGGCATTTGGTTAAGAGAACATTTGGAGTTTGAGAGGATCAGGACTCTGAGGATTGCTTCCCATGAGTTTACTGTACTTGCATAGTTGGGGCAGTAGAACAGTGTTGGCCCGATTCTACCAAAATTCCAACATGATTTCATGAAGCTTTTGTCTCAGAGTTTTTGGGTTTGGGAACTTGGTGATGACCTTGTTGAACTAAAAACGGTTGCGTTTGCCCGCCACCCCCGTGTTGCTACTTTTAAAATGTTCATTTACTGTTTCTAACTTTAATAAAGGGAACTTCACAGTGCGCAGCAGGGTGACTTTTAATTTTACTTTTAACAGGGCACTCCCGAGTTTGTCGCGGCCGCAGACTGTGTGCACTACTTTGAGTGGAGGACTTCCGCAGCCTGCAAGAAAGACACGTTCAAAGCGAAGAAAGAGGTAACCTCAAGGTTACATGCTTGGAAAGAACATTCTGGGACCCTTCAGACCTGAAATACTGGTTTAGTTGTTGATATTGTGCTGGGTGGTTCTCCGCTTAGGACAGGGCTCTTAGCATCCCACAGGAATGGAATGGCCCACCCGTGCAAGCAGGTTCGTTCCTGGTTTCTGGTGCCGTGAAACTCAGTACCTAAGTGACTCGGTGGAGCGGGGTGCAGTGTGTTCACGGTGCCTCCAGGTGCCGTCTCCCCCTGGAGCTCTAGGGGGGCTGCTGGGTGGTGGCTCCCGGCCAGGCGTCCTGAGCCCTCCAGGTCTTGGCCAGCTCACCTCGGAGACTGGATGGCTTACCGTTCCTTCTTGGTCAGATCATTCTTTAAAAAAAAAAAAAAATTTTTTTTTAAAAAAATTTAATTTCAGAGAGGAGGCGAGAGGGAGATAGAGATAGAAACATTAATGATGAGAGAGAATCATTGATTGGCTGCCTCCTGTACATCCCCTACCGGGGATTGAGCCCGCAACTCAGGCATGTGCCCTGACCGGGAATCCAACAGTGACCTCCTGGTTCATGGATTGACGCTCACCACTGAGCCACACCGGCCGGGCTGGACAGGTCATTCTTGTTGATCCACGAAGTGTCTGTTCCCTAGACTAGGGCTCCGAAGGTGGCTCACTGCGTGGCTTTCCCTGGTCACGGAGGGGAGGAGAGTGAGTAGCCCTCTCTTTCTGCTTCACTCCTCCCGCCACCGGCTCGGACCCGTGCTCGCCTGGACAGCGGTCTTCATGGGCTGGTTATTCTCACTTTTCGCCATTAGTTTTCTGTTCTGAAGGGTTGAGTTCAAAGTCTTAGGAGCGGGGAACTGAGCAGTGGGAGTTGTTTTCACTGACGGCTGAACGCCGTATCGTTCCAGAAGGGCATAAAGAGGTACATTCGTTTTTAAAAAGTAAAACCAGTGACATGATGAGTGCTGAGTGATCGCAGGCCTTTCACACGGGCAGTCCGGGAAAGAGGACAGTCTCACGCGGCGTGGAAGGGCCACGCTGCCTCGCCGAGGAGCCGGAGGAGGCTCCGTGCAGAAAAGCCTCCAGTGTGAAAGGGAGTGAGGCCCATGAAACGTCACCGACATTGAGGAACCGTGTCAGGTTTACACTTTCAGTCGTAAAATGGAGGGCGAGCTGTTTGCCAGCATACAGTGCGTGGCGGGAGGAGCCTGTCGGGCTGCAGGGTAGCTGCCTGCCCTTCCCCGAGACCTGCACCTCCCCGGCCCCTCGAGCCCCCGCGGGGCCCTGACGCCCCCGCCTGCCAGCCAGGCTGTTTTCCTGCCTCAGCGGCGCGGCCTCTTCCTCGCTCTCCTGAGCTGGCGGCGGCGTCTCCCACCACCTGGGGAAAGCGCCTTTCCACGTTGAAGACAGAAATAAGAAGCAGTCTGTCTCCCCTCTGCCTGGTGCGGTGGGAAGTCACACACTGCAGCCCGGGGCCCAGCCCTGCCTGGTCTGTTTGTACAGCCCAGAGCGGAGAATGGCCTCACGTTTTATAGGCTGTAAAGAGACAAAGAAGAATGCAGGGCAGGGGCCTACGTGACGCGAGCTGGCATGTTTACTCTGTGGCCTTTGCAGCAGACGGGTGCCCTGCTCTAAATTGTTCTTTGGGGCGGAGGGGGGAGGGCCAGCTGTTTTTTCTCAAAACAGTGACATTTAATTTCTCTTCGAAGTGGATCTGAAGGTGCAGGAGAGACGTTGCAGTCTGCGCTCTGCTGGTCTCTGGGGCCGGGTGGCAGCTGGGCGTGATCCCTCCCGTTTCCAGGCGGGGAGGGCCCGTGGGGGGCCACGCAGGAGGAATTCCTTGCGTTTTGAAAGGCTGCTTGCTTTCAGGGGCCCGTGGACTCAAGGTCCGGAGGGCGCGTCCCTGCTCACGACCTGAACTCCTTTCTGCCCCCCGTGCCGGCACCTTAGAGGGAGGACCCGAAGAGCATGTGGCCGCTCGCGTAGCCTGCTGTCACCGCTCCGGTCACAATCGCTCCCGGGTGACAGTCGAGCACACCCGCTCTACCCTGTCTCCGGGGGATGGATTACGCCGACCGGCTGTGGTGTGACTCCAAAAATGGTTAAAACTTTCAGCATTTCTTCTCTTTTTTTTCTTTCAACTTAAATTCTTTATTGTTGAAAGTCTTACGTTTGTCTCCTTTTCCCCCCATTGACCTCTCCCTGGCTGCTCCTGCCCCCCCCAGCACATACCCTCGCCCCCCTATTCTCTGTGTCCATGGGTTGTGCTTATCTGCATGCATACAGCACCCGGCATTTCTTAAACGAGAAATCCGCGCTCGGTCTAGGGTTGCTGTCGCCATGATGTCCACACCTCACTCATATTTCCTGGTTTCTTTGTTTGTGTTGCTCTGACGGCAGTGCTCGGCTGCCTTTTAACACGACCACTCTGGGCCCGTTCAGTGAGCCCTGGGAGGGTTTTTTTTCGATGGTAATTTCTCTAAAGGACCCCGGGCGGACGCCCCCTACCCTAGCACTCCGGGGAACACAGAGGACTCAGAACTCAGCAGCCACACAAGCCCGGTTAACATACGGCGCGAACAAGGTCCACTCAGTGTTTGGAGCGGGGGCCGGCCGCCCCTCCCCCGGCGGCCGCGTTCCTGCTCTCATGAATGTCTCCATTGCTTTGCTCCGTGGGGCAGGAAGTGGGAGGCCTTCCCCCAGGAGCCCGGCTGTTTTCCGACGCGCACTCCAGTTCTGTGGGCGCAGAGCTGGGCGGGCCCCGCAATTCCTTCCTGGCCCGTGCGCCGGCCAGTGGTGGCTGGCTGCCTGGAGCGGGGGTCTGAGCGCCTGCTTCTCACTGGGATCCCTCGAGCCCGTCCAGAATGGCGAGTCCTTGCACACGTGGCCGTCTTGCCTTCCCCCCGCCGGGGCCGTGGCCCCCTGGCTTCCACAGGCTTTCATTTTGTAGCTGGGGAGGTGCCCCGCCTCCGTTCTGACCCTCTCGAGTTGGTGTCTGTGTGAACGTGCTGGGGACCGGCACCCGTCAGATTCGCAGGATTAGGGATGCTGCGACCGCTGTCCCGGGGTCCGGTGACAGCCTGCAGGGAGACCTTTATTTTAATTTAGGTAATTTTTGAAGCGTGTGGACCTAGCCTTTCTGCAGGATGTAGCCTGAGGCTTGGCGTCTGGCCCCTGTGAGTCATGTTCTCCCTGTACCAGATGTGCCAGCCCCTGCGGTTATCAGCGGGATCTCCGATCATGGGAGCCTCTGCTTTAGGGATCTGGTCGGAATGAGGGCGCGTGTCCCCCGAGGCTGCGAGGAGGTGCAAGTTGTTGATTCAGGCCACTAGCTCTCCATGAAATTTCGGGAAACGGGGCTGGGGAAAAAAGGTTAGTGGGTCAGAGCGTTCCTGCAGGTCTGATAGCATCTTTCTAAGAAGGATTTGAAAGCTAAATATTAGGCAGTTAACCTTTGCAAGCAGACCTGCATGTGAATGGCTTCATTGTGAAAGACGGAGTCTCAAGAACATCGTGTCTAGAAAACGCTGAAACAAACTACTTTGAAATGATTGCCGAGAACACGAGTCTTCAGAGTCCTTCTTCGCGCGGGTGATTGAAGTGATGCCAGGGTATTTTTTTTGGAAATAAGACTTACAAGGGGGTTTCAAAGGCAGACCTGGCAGGGGGTGGTGTGATCTGGGTGACCAGGGCCTTTGTGTGTCTCGGCACGTGTCTGGGCGCGATGGCTCTGCTTTAGAAGGAGGAGGAACTGTTGGAGCCCGGAGCCGTGTCAGCTGTAATGGGCTCCTTGACATTTTAGAAATAAGAGGCCATTAGTTCCTAGAGATGAGGGAGTGAGTGATCATAAATGAGAATCCGGGAAGGGCGGCTCAATGCTCGAAGGAGGACTCTGTCTTCATGTTACTGAGCAGATGCTGGTGCAGGCATTGTCCTGAGCCTGTCCTTTAGGGCGTCAGCAGGGACAGAGCCCTGCACTCAGCCAGCGGTCTCTCCCATGGGAGGAAGCTAACAGGTAACACACACCAGCGCTCTGAAGGGCAGGGAGGCGGGGGAGGCACAGAGAGGTGGGGAGCACTGCTTTAGATCAGGGTGTCAAGACAGGCTCCCCGAGCACGTGACGGCTCATCAGAGACTGGAGCGAGGTGGAGAGAGAGCGGTGTGATCCCGGGGAAGTGCATTCCAGGGGGAGGGAGTGTCGAGTTCCCTGGGCCGAGCAGCACCTGGGGGCCCAGAGGCTGCGTCCTGGAGGTTGGAGGGGGCTCCCTCTCTGGATCTGAGCAGAGAGATGTGGCCGATGCAGCTTGGGCAGGGCTGAGCTGGTGGTGGTGGGGACCTGGGTCGCAGGACAGGGCGTGTGTCATCGGGAAGCAAGGACCCGATGAAAAGACGGGTGGTCGCAGGCCGGTTGGAAGGTGTGTGTTGGAGACTGACTCTCTCCCCCTCTCTTCTAGGTGCCGTGCTATGCGTTTGATGGCGAGTTCAAGAAGCACGATTTAAACCCACTGATCAAGCTCAGTGGCGCTTACTTGGTGGACGACTCGGACCCGGACACGTCTCTGTTCATCAACGTTTGCAGAGACATAGGTGTGGACCTTGGGGGGCGTGGGCGAGGGGTGGGGAAGGGTCGCTTGGAAATGTCCTTGTCTTTGCCCTCCGCCTGCGCTCACCTTTCTGGAGAGCCACGTGGCTGGGAGGCCTCGCGATAGCGCTTGTCCCCACGGATGTCTCTGTGCATAGCCCACCCCGCGGCCCCAGGAATCCGATCCCTCACACGATCCCTCCACACTGCGAGTCCGGCCCCGTGTGCTCTCTCTGTCTGACACTTGGGGTTTCAGGATTCTCACGTGAATCTTACTTCCAATGAGATGGGGGTGGGGTGGGGGATGGATGGATTTGGTGTGTGGGCGCTGAGCACGGCTGGAGGAAATGGAGTCCGGAGTTCCTGGCCGGGCTGGGGAAGCCACGTGCCCCGGCTGTGGGTACCTGAGTCCCTTGGCTGTGAGCTGCAGGCTGGGAAAAGGGGAGAGGGGTGCCCAGGGTCCTGGGGCACTTGGTCATGACCCATATTTCGTTCTGGGCCGACTTCCTGCCTGGCTGTCTCTGAAGCTGCCAGGACTGGTGTGAGAAGCTTGGGTGTCTGCTCAGCTACCTGAAGGCTGTGCCCAGCCTTTATCCAGCGAGGCCGTGGGAAGCTGTGCTAAGCCCGGCTGGAGCCTCGCTTGGCGTTGGCTTCAAGGGCTGTGAGTTGTTAGTCCTCTGCTAGCTTTGCTCGTGATCAATAAAAAATAATCCTTCCCTGTTTCCCTTACATTCTTATTCCTCACATCGTATGTAGGACTTTGGCCTTAGAAAAGTTTGGAAAAGTTTTTAAAAAGAAAGCCAGCCCATGAGAGGACTGTGGGCCGCACGCACACGCGTGAGTGTGCGAGTGTTCTTTACATTGTGCGTGGACATCACGCACCACTTGGCTCACTCCTTCTCCGTTGTTCTAAAAAGGGAGCCACACGGCTCCCCAGGGGCCAGCGCCGGGCAGGTGTGCCGCAGGTTGTTCATGTCATTCTTTTGTGCTCCAAGGATGGCTCCTGTTGTTCTTCTGGAAAAAGGTCGGTAGACAAAGTCTTTGTCTTAAATGGGCCTGTAACTCAGATTTGATGATAAAGTTGAAGAGGCCTGTAGATGGTTGAATTCTGAAATAGTATGCGATTATTCACATTCACTGGATATATTCTTTTTTTTTAAATTTTATTTTATTGTTTAAAGTATTACAGATAGTAGTACATATGTCTCCTTTTTTTTCCACCCATT